ACCCTGAGAAGTTGGAGGGGGGGGCCATCCCCATTGTGGTCCCGCAGGATCTGCAGCCCCGGTTCAGGCATCACCATATCATGGGTCACCGTGAGCAGAGAGTGGTGCGAGCATCTTTGGGTGTTCGCAAAACCCTCAAAGCAAAGATTTGGCAAAGGCTTGCGACGGGTTGTGGTGGCCGGGTGACAGGTGTCAGTCGGTGGGGACAAGAGCAAAGGGGGAGAGGTTTGTGCGGGCACGCTCTGCCTCGTACCAGGCTCACGCTCCGTGGTAAAGAGAGGACAGAACCCTTTGAGCAGCCAAGCATCAAACTAAAAGCAAAACAAAAAGCAAGTTTTGGGGGGCAGCAGGATGGTTTACTCACTTGTCTGGAGTTAAGCTGTGGGATACGCTGACGTGGGATGTTTGGAGGCCAAATGCATGAGTGGTTCCAAAAATTTCACAGAGCCGGAGTGAGAACTGGCTGCGGAGCACAGCATCCAACTCAAAACTTATCTGGGCCAAATGCCGTTGTTCTCTGACCAACGGCAAAAGCCAGAAGACTCCGATATAGACATCGTCAAGCATGGCGCTGGACGGGAAAGGCCCATGAGGGAGCAAGCAGCAGAGCTTGATGCCCTGGGAAGACCATGAGTGAGGGCAAGATCGGCTCAGTGGAGGGTCCACTGAGAGCATCCCACCGTCCACCTAGACCTGCCTTGGGTCTTAGCTGAAAACGGTGGCCAGTATAGTGTAACCGTCACGCTGGTCTGTTCCCAGGCAAATGAAGGTCCTGACCTCCCACAGAAAATACCCGTAAGATGTTGCCACTGTGGTGGGGCTCTCCATAAGATGGTCCGGAGGGCTCCCAGCCTCTTGGTGCCTCCTCCTGGTAGGTCTGGTAACGTGTGGGGAGCAATCAGACTGCACCACCACCACATCACCTCTCATTATTTTGCAGTTTCAGCAGGTGAGGGGATGGTGCCCAGGACTTTATCAGGGCTTGTCTGTGGGCTGTGACTGCTGCCCTGCCCTGAAGTCCCCCCAGTGCCTGCACGCCTGGAGCAGACGGGGAGCTGTGCTCCTGTAGATCGTTTTGTCAGTGGCGGTCACTGAGGCTTTTTTCTTCTCGGTCCTCAGTCCTCCGGAGGCCAGGACTTGCTCAGGAGCCTCTGGGCATGGGGCAATTTCCTTGAGTTGCTTAATTTTCAACCGTTACTCGATCACTTGCACCCTAAGCAAAGCTAAAAACTTCAGTCATTTAAAACAGAGCTGCCAGATCAGGAAGCTGTGGTTAGAGAGAAACACTGCTGAACTTGTTCATGTCTGCAAAGCTCCTGGCTCGGGACTCATGTGTCAGAGCGGACATAAAACCCAGGACACGCTCCCGCGGCCGTGCGGCAGCAGCCCCCGGCGCAGTCTGCAGGGGGTTTGCTGCTGTGAAAGCAGGGAGCCCGGGCAGCAGTGTTTGTGTAGGCCAGGAGACACGGGGAGACAATTTCATCCTTGGGTGCAGGCCAGGGCTGGACCGGGCAGATGACCAAGAGAAATTCCAACACCGTGGGGTCTCCCCAGTTGCTCTCGCTTGCGTGTTGGTGTCGGTAGGAGCTGCCTGTCCCAGAGGAAGGTCCTCTCTGCCTGATCAGAGCTGGCCTCCGTCTTGCTTCCTCCCTGAGCCCTACCCGCTCTCCCTGGGCAGCCCGGTGAGGCTGACCAGGCTCTCACCTGGGACTTGATGCCTTCTGACCTGTGCAGTAGCTCAGCTGCCACCTCTGTGTGCTTTCACTGGGAGGAAGACTCTGGTGCTGGAGAAGAGCAAGTGAGAGCCAGCGGCTGGGGGCTGAAGCTGAAACTGAAATGAAAACAAGAAATTAGTTGCAATATTTTAGCTGTGACTTAATGCACTACTGGTGTGTGTGGCCAAAAGGTGAAGCAAATCCTTGGTCTCCTTCTTTAAATGTAGCTTGGATGTCTTTCTGGAGACCGCTGAGTCCCACACGGGGTGTAGGCTCATGCAAGGTTGTTGTGTGTTAATGCCACGTCTCTGCAGATGACGTGAGCTGACAGTCCCTCTCAAGCCAGGTCTTTCTGCACTCTTGAAAAGCAGTGAGAAGGGAGAAGTGTGCTGTGAAACCAGCACCCTGGAAGTCACAGACCGGGACGAGAACAGATCTAGAAGAGCTGGAGCCACAGGGCCCTGCTGTTCCTTGGTCTCACCTCTGAAGGGCAGAAATGCCGCTGCCAGTGACTTCTGCAGTGGTCCAGCCAGCAGCTTTTATTGATGGAGTAGGGGAGTTTGTACAGTAAAGAGTCTTGGTGCATGCAAACAGCCATCAGCAGACGCACACGTGTCACGGAGCACAGCACCAGTGTGGGATAAAGCAGTAAACACAGCAAGAGCCCATCCTTGAGCAAGGAGAGAGCCCTGGCACAGCGTGCCCTGAGCCTGGCAGCGGTGTGGGCAGCAGAGGCAAGGAGTGCTGAGCTGCAGGGGATGGACGTCAGCCGGTTTGCCATGGCTGGAGGCAGGTCCCCAAGGGGGGAGCCACGCAGCTTGGCCAAGTGCAGACCAGATCTGTGCCTGCAAGGCAAATGAACGCAGGTAAAAGTACAGGCAGGGAAGGGAGCGTGGGGTTTCCTGCGCCAAACACTAGATATGGAACTTGCTGCCTTGTGGCCAGCGACTGTACTCGTACATTTTGCGGTCCTTGGAGGGAGCGCTGCCTCTTGCAGCCGGGCTCACTGGCTGGGGCGAGCCCGGGGAGGTGGAGGTGCCTGTTGGTGATGGCCTCTGGGATGCCATGGAGCAGTCCCACCCTGGTGCTGCTCCTCCAAAGCAGGGAAGCCTCCTGGCCTTGAAACCGTTGGCCCAGCAGACAGGGAATGGTCCCAAAGGTGGGGATGGGTCACTTGTGGACCAAGGTTACATCTTCGGGGAGAGGATTGTCAGGAGAAAGGAAGGGGAAGGCCACGGGGGGGGCGGGTTGAGCATCTGTGTGTGGAAAGCTGAATTTCTGGTACAAGATGAAGTATTAACATGACTGGCGTCACAAGGGACCTGGGCAGGCTCCAGGGACATTTTTGGAAGGAGGTAGCTGTCCTGGTCAAGGTGGGTCCCAGCAGCAGAGGGGAGTGAGGGGGAAAGAGGTTCTGGAGGGCACTAGGAGGTTGGAGATCAGTGTCTCAGTGGCAGCCAGCTCCAGATTGCTCCCTCCCAGTGCCACGTACAAGGACAGGCGGGGAAGGGAAGAGCTGGAGTCCGATGGTGTGGCTAAAAATCTGCTGAGGAGACGAGTGACATCTGGAACTGGGAAAGCTTCCCTGGTGAAGCCTCTGCAAGGGAGATGGGCTTCACCTAAGCCAAAAGGGCTTCGCCTGAAGAAGGTGTCATGGAAAGTGAGAGTAAAACTCCTCTAACACCAATGTAGTATTAAGAAGCAGGCATTCTTTTTATTGCAGCACTGGATGCACAGGGGATTGCTCCACCTAACGTGCACACCGAGTAAAGTGAAGATATGTATTAGATACAATAAAACATTTGCATATTCATAGTACACTACATATTCATTGTTATTGACACTTAGGATTGGTTATAAGTTTCTTGCTTCTAATGTAAATTAGTACACTTCCTCAGACAGCACCAATGAAGCCTCTTTATTAACTACGCATGCTCCCCAAGCGGGGTTTTGCCTTCTTTGGGGGGGCCATTTGAGTTGGAGATCGCGATCTCCCACTACCACAATTACCTCTGTCCTGCTTTCAGCTACTTTATTGTTGATGTCTGTGGGTTGTAACCTGTTATCAGCTTGGCTCCCTTCATGTCTAGAACTCCCCCTCTTGAAGGCCTCTCTCCACATTCTTGCCTACTGACTCAGATAACAGTGTCCCTTCTTCTCTCGTTTGTTCTTTTCCTGATCCTTCCCAACCTTGAGATGCCGGACTAAAGCATGTGCCTGTTTTTCTGTTAATTTAGCTGAATTATTTAACCCTTTGGTATCAGCTTCAATATACGTTCTCTCTCTATAGTTGCTCAACCATTTAGTCTAGTTATAATAAGGTATTTTCTAAAGCGAGTACTTATCAAAGGGTGAAGGGATGCCTAAGGTTAGCGAGACGAATCCCACATGCAATGGCTTAGACAAGTGCAAGGAGCTGTGGCCCAGGAGGGGACAGTGCCTGCCTCACCGCGGCACTCACAATAACCATGCAGTTGTGAGGGGGATGTGTTAGCCCTTGAAGTCCTGGATTATCCTAAAGTCATTTTCTGAACACGAGGGTATGAGTGCCTCCAACAGCTTTGCCAAAGGACAGTGGTCAGGTGTTTCAGGTGCTCTGTTCCACCGCTGTCTTTCTGACCTTGGCTCATGGGGATCTCTTTGAACCATAATACTGGATTCCCTGGATTTGCAATGCTTGGGGTGTGCATAGTCCTACTGGTCCTGGAGGTCTTACATTAATTGTCCCAGGAATGTCGATTTGAGGGCGTGGCTGGAAAACCTCAGTCCCAAACTGGGCTGGACAAGAAGGTGCAGGTGCTAAGAGTTGCGGGTGGCAGCTCTTCCCTGGGGAGCAGAAAGTCTGGCAACTCCTACGTAGGAGTATAAGTCACTAATTCAAGTTCTCAGCATCCCTGCTGCACCGAAATCTGGAAATGTGCGGGCAGATAAGTTTCCAGCACTATTGCTCTTTGGGTACCTAAACATTTATGGTGATGTCCCTGCATGCCACAGTCTTGACTGTGCTGACCCATGCAGAGCCTGACTCACATCCTCCGCGAATACAGGGGTTCGGCTGCGTGGCTTGCCTGATGCGGTGCACGTCAGAGGACAAAGCCAGTGGTGGTACCACGCCCCTGGGTACCCGCCCATTCGCTCAGCTGTTAAATAGCCTTAGCTGTAGCATGCAAGGCCACCCCGAGTTGTTCTTTGCCTTCCCAAAATTCTGTAAAACTGTTTGCTCCCACAAATCAGTGTTTACGGATCTTAAAAGCCTGTTCCCTGTCTTTGAGCTCTAGCACTGTCAGGACAAAACTCAGAGTGAAGCCCAGTCACTCCCTACGGGGCTGGCCTGATGTGGAAGCTGTTGGGGCTTACATCAGTCCAGTGAATGGGTCACACCTGAAACACCGTCCCCAGTCAGGACCGAGGTGGAGAAATCAGAGAGGGTCAGAGAAGCAGAGCTGGGCTGATTTAGCTGGGTGAAGAGGGGGTGTCTGACAGCAGCCCATAACTCATCTCATGGCAACTATAAGCAATGGTGTCGAGCTCTTTTGGGCAGCACCAGATGATGTAACATGCAGCAACATCCAGTTTGTGGCTCAGGAAGTTTAGGTTAGGTGTTAGGAAAAGATCCTTCTGCAGAGGGAGGTGGAGCTCTGCAAGAGGTCACTAGAGATGTGACCTCCATCCTTGGAGGGTTTCAAAGCCCAACCAAGCAAAGCACAACCAACCTCATCTGGTATTAACAATAATCCTGCTCCCAACAAGATATTGCATGAGAGCAATGCAGTACTTGTATGAAATAACATCTATAATCCAGTCTCTCATAGGCAGAGAGTTTAGATGTCTCCAAACATTTCCCCTCGGCTACCTGCACCTCCTCCTCTCAGCCCAGGAATGACACTGACAGTGACGGAAATAAAATTTGTAACAAAAACAGCCTCTTGCCACTGAAATTCATGTTTTCTGTCAATGCTCTATGTTCCTTTTCTAATATATTTTCCAATTCTCTCTTAAATGCTCGACCATTTCTTCCAGAAGAACACCAGGAAGGCTTGCAGGTATTTAAGATATACATGGACTACTACTGCTAGATCACCACCTATCTGCTGGCAGGACAGTCCAGCTTGGGGATGCTGAGGCTTGTGCTAAGCCCTGTGCTTTACGGAAATGCGTGTATGGATGTAGTCAGTGACCACCTCCTCTGCATTTCTAGGCCTTGGATGCTGACCGAGCTGTGCTGCAGAAGATGAGGAAAGCAGCCAAGGCGGAGCACAGCTGTGGACAAGGTCAGGGCAGAACGGAGCCTCAGGAAGGGAGAGATGGCGATGGATGGATAAGGGGAGTCCTTGCTGCAAGTCGAGTTGACCGCAGCAGGGAATATGGGTCTCAGGGGTCCCTATAGCTGGGGGGTGGTGGCGGGGGCAGCAGGAGGCAACAGGAGCCAGCCCGGATGCATGGGCAGAACCAGGCTTGGTGACTCCCAGGAGGGAGGCAGGGGTTGGGTGTCCACCCTGACCTTCCCCCTGCACTCGCTGGAGACCATCCATGTCCCCCCAGACCTCATCAGCCACCTCGAAGCCCACATTGCTGCCCAGGAGAAGTTCTCAGCCAACTACCAGCTGGAGGGTGAGGAGCAGCTGGCCAGCGCCTTTAGCACCTTTGCTGCCTTCTCCCGGGAGATGCTGACCTCTATCAGGAGCTTGGTAGGCAGCTCTGTCCCCTGCGTGTACATCAGCGTGGGGCCCCTGGCTTGCAAGGGGATGCTGGTGGGGGTCCTCAGGAAGAGCAGCAGGCTCTGGGTCACAGCCTGGTGGTCCAAGCTCATCCCCTTCGCCAGATGGAGGTGGGAGGCCATGGCGTGCAGTTGCAGAGCCAGTGGCCCAGCCTGCATGGTCAGGGCTGTCTGTGCGAACCTCTGAGGCTGCGCAGAAGAGGCCTCTGGAGGTCTCCTGTCCACCATCCTGCTTGAAGCCATGCTCTCGCCAACACTGGATCAGGATGGTGGTGGTTTTTCAGCCTGGTAGTTTCCAAGGATGGAGGTTTTCAGCTGACTGTTGTCCAAAGTGGTTCCTCTGCAGGCTCACAAACAGCTCAGCTTTCTCAGCACAAGGAGCGGTGCAGGGGTGCAGTGCCAGCGGTGTGATCTCTCTCTCTTTCTTTTCCAGTGGCAGAGTTTGTACTACAACATTAACTTTTCCCTGGAGTCATTAATAAAGGGTGACATGAAAGAGCTCAAAGGGGTAAGCAGGGGCTGAGCGGGCTGCACGGAGGTGGAGCTGGTGAGTGAGTGGCTGGAGACAGAGCGGGTACCAGCTGTGGGGTCTCATCCCTGGCTCTCCGCCGGCAGGGGTACGCGTTGGAAGGGCAGGTCTGCCTGCACCTCCGGTGTGCCGGATCCTGCTCTCTCCTGAGGCTGGCACCTCACACCACAGGTCAGGCTAGGGGTGCCCCTTAGCTGGGACCTCTGCCCGTTTGCAGGCACCTGCCTGAATCCGGAGGAGTCTGGTGGCATTTTCTATGCGGGGAGAAAAATCAGGGTGTTGTGCACCAAATATTGTGCTCTTCTTTGGCCATCAGTGAACAAACTCCCCCCCAATCTCCTAGTGAGGTTCCCACCTCACCCCCAGACCCACCTGCGGCTCTTGCCTTTACATGTGGGAGCAAATGTGTGTCGCTGTGACTCTGAGTGTGCCCCTGTGTATCTACCGGCTGCAAGTCCCTCTCAGAGATCCCGAAGTGACCACGCAATTTGATCTTCAGCACGGTAGAGATATCAGCGAGCACAACAGTGCTCAGCCGTATAGATTTTAGGAAAAGCATCAAACTCATATTTAATATTTGCTTTTTTTAACCAATGGGAAGGTTGTCATGATCCTTGGTAAGTCCGCACACACGTTCATACCCTTACGTCCTGGTGGCTGTACTGAGGCCATCAGCTCTGCGCGAGTGCCCCGGTGCCTTTGCCTGCATAGGGGTGCCTGCGGGTGTTTGGGGTGTGGATGCTGGACAGATCCTGACCGTGATGCTGGAGCAAGGTCACTGTCGAGGGATTGCTGATCGTAGCCTGCATCTAACGTGGTAAAGCAGCTGCCAGTTGTGACCTGGCACCATTCCTCCCTGGGTGATTTTAGGCACAGAGACTCTCCGAGCAGGGTATGTACAACTTGAAACAGTACAGCAATTATTTATCAGCTGATGTACACACAAGGTTGTTAGGATTTAATGAGTTTGATGCTCAGCACCATGATGAGACACCTGAGGACTCACGCTGCCCAGGCAGACCAGCCCGGGAGGAGCAGGGACAGCGCTGCTGCTCCCTGCAACAGATTCTTGTTCTCGGTCATTGCTGTCTTCCACCAGACCTGCTGAGACTCTGGCAACCCCCCTGTGTTTTCTTCTTTTAGGCTTTTATATTTTCCCTCTTGAATCATTGAGCTAGTAATGAACCTGTTTCAGCAACACAAACTCCATAATTTTACCTTTTTAATCTTGTATGGTTCCACTCTATAGATTTTCTCCCAGCTCTGCAGCTTCCTCAGATGCTTGACGAAGGTTTTGCAGCTGGGCTGTATCAGAGCTGGGCTGCGGGTCCTTGAGCAAACAGCTGAATCTCTGGGAAAGTTTTGGACAGGATTGCAGAAAGGAGGATGGGAACTGTGGCAGGGTTTGGGGACTTCCAAAGGACTAATTGCCAAATACTGGAACAAATTATGAGCATTTAGGCATCTGTTTGGAAGTTTGTGCTATACAGGAGCATGGAAGTGGAAGGAGAGAGCAAATTCTGGAACTTCTGGTGTGAAGTAAATTGATAAAACAGTATAAAGTACTAAGGAAAAATTTCACTATTTGCATTCTTAAGGATGATGTCAAGAAGACTGGGAACCAAGAAAACAGGCAGAGAGAGAGGAAAAAAACCAGCTGCCCACAAGGAGTCATAATTAAGCTGAGGGCATTTCTAATGGGATCCAACAGGAATCAGAAGCTGACCTTAATCAGTTTGACATTTTTATTAGAATGGAGATAAATGCAAGATCTGTCCCGACAAGGTTCTGCCTTGACATAAATAAAGAAGTTTTGCCTCGAGGGACAGAGAGGCGCTGGGACAGGGACTCAGAGAGGCTGTGGGATCTCTGTCTTTGGGGTCTTTCAACACCTGCCTGCACAAAGCCTGGTCTGAACTCAGTGCTGTCCCTGCCTTGGGAGGGAGGTTAGACTAGAGACCTCCTGAACCAACCTGATTTACTCTTCCTTTCTTTGATACAGAGGTTTGCAGAGCAGCAAGTAGTGAGAACAGGGCAGGACACAGGTGATCTGAGTAAACGCATTTAATAGACAAACACAGGTGAACGTACCAAGACGATAACCACTGGAGAGAAGCACACAAAGTCAAATGAGAAACAAATGATTAGCAAGACTAGTTCAACATTAAATGAATACCCTGGGAAGAATCAGACTGTGCTGATGTTGCCAGGTTTGGGTGGGTTTCTGATGTCTCTCTTGGTGGTGTTTCGGTTAAACATGACGTTCTGGCTTCAGCAAGTGAGAAGCTGGTTGGTGCTTTCTGGCTTGCGCATGTCTGAGCAATTCCTTTTGCCCTAAAATTGTGAGTCTGTGAAAGACGTTACAGCTGGGTACCAATACGTACGTACCTATGTGATGTACACATGCGTGATGTACGTTTTGGAGCCGATGTGTGTTTGCGGGTGTGTGCAAGCGTGTGCCCGTGAGTGAATCTGCACTGGTGCCACACTTTGCTGTGCGCTGAGGAGAGGCGAGGACCTTGCTGGGGAGGGACAGTGCTGAGGACAGCCGTGTCCTGGATCTGCAAGGGCCTTTACGCTAGGGTGACCCGGCTTTTTTGAGGATGAGGAACGCTCTGTCCTAGTCGTAGTCATTAAACGATGCCTTTGGCTCTTCCTAGGAGTTCAAGAAGCCCTTTGAGAAGGCCTGCAAAGACTATGAGAGCAAACTGTAAGTCTTCAGGCTCCCTCACCCTGAGGCCTGGACTTGGAGGCTGGTTTTTGTCTGCCTGCACAGTAAGCAGTCAGATGGAGCCTTTCACCTGTCTCCCCTCTTCCCTCCAGCGCCAAGATTGAGAAGGAGAAGCGTGAGCTGGCGAAGCAGCACGGCATGGTGCGGAGCGAGGTGAGTGGGGGCGAGATCGCCGAGGAGATGGAGAAGGAGCGCAGGATCTTCCAGTTGAACATGTGTGAGGTAAGGACAGGGACCAGCCTATGCTGCACAGAGTGGTGTTAGAGTTTCTGAATCGGCACCCAAGGAATGAATTTCCCTTCCTTCGGTGCACAGCGACTGTGCCGCAGCCCCGGCAGGGCCCCGTCTGTAGCGGGCAGACATGAGCAGCGACTCTCATGCTGGTGTTTCTCACTTGCCCTCCAAACTGAGATTGTTTCAAAGCAGTTTTTTTTGTCCAAATCCACACTGATTTTTCATTTAAGGCTATCTTTTGTCCCTAGTCAGTGAGTGATGCATCTGCCCAGGGTATTGCAGGTCCTTTTCTGCCTTCTGGGGAGGCTGAAGCCCCCCAGGCTCTGCCCTGGGCACCGCACAACGATTTCATTCCAAGTATCCAACTCCTTGTAATTATGTGTTGGAAACAGTTACTGTTTCTGTGCTGGAACTGCTGTTCTACTCCAAACACCAGGAGCCCCTGTGCTATGGAGCTGCACTGTCCTCCAACAGGGCCAGCGGGTCAGGTGGGGGTTTCAGTCTGTGCTGGTGGGAGTCCACGGGTAGGATTTGGATTCCTGAGAGGGTGTCTTCTAGGAAACACTTCTGATGGATTGAGGGTGTTTTGAATGATCCCCTTACAGTACATACAGGGAAGCCTGAGGCTGGACACATTGAACACGTATTTTGGAAGGTGATTTACCATGTTGGACTGTGGGTCTTCTGCAAATGGTTGTTAGTAGGTTGCTGTTTTTGCAGTAGTTGCAATATCAAGAGAGATGATGCTGGTGTTGGACTAGTCTAGAGACGGATGGAGAAATACTTTACCCGTTTCACAGCACAACACACTGTTTCATGTTGTCAGTTCAGTGACTGAAAGGGCCAGTGTTGGTTTTCAGGATGGAGGATGGGCTGGGTGAGGTGGCAGACAGGTTTGGGCTGGAAATCTGAACCTTCAGCTCACTTCTGAAGGCCCTGAAGGCAGGCTGAGATGCCAGCTGTGTGCGGGATACAGGCAGGCGGGCTCGCAGCACTGACGCCATGGGTAGGGTCAGGTGGAAGTGGTGCAGTTCATGGCGCAAGTCTAGTGGGTCTTGGAGGAACTTGGCTCTTGAGCAATGAGATTTGAAGATCTGTATGAAAGCTGGCCATTCGTCAGTGACAGCTCCATGAATGATGAATCTTAGCGGGTGTATTAACTGTTTGCCCTGTGTAAGTAAAGCCCAGCAAGCCCAGGGTCCATGACACCACGTGGGTCCACCACACCACATGGGTCCACCACTCTGTTGGCCAGGTCAAGGTACTGGGCCCAGCTTACCACCATCTTCTGACCCCATAAAAGCCACATGAGCAGCTCCTATCAGGGTGTGACTGCTGGGATGGGTCACAACGCACTGCGGGGACGGGGGGCGGGGGGGGAGGATGATCAAAAAGTGCATAAAAAGCATTTCTGTCTAAGCTACAAATTCAGTCCCTGTGTTCTTTTCCATTCAGTATCTAATCAAAGTGAATGAGATCAAAACCAAGAAAGGGATTGACCTGCTGCAAAACCACATCAAGCACTGCAGCTCTCAGTTCAAGTAAGAGCGACCGGTACCCTGCCTGCATGCCCCTTCTCTCCAGAAGTGCTGGTTGTAGAGGGGACCTGGGGGTGCCTTAACTTGTGGGACCTGGATTCCTGCAATTGCCTTGGCCTGTCCTGTAGCTTGCTAAAAGTCCTCTTCTCCTGGAGGTGATGGAGGCAAGGATCTCAATGGGGGGGTGTTTCCTCTCTTTACTCTGACATTCTCATAAGCCAGTGTAAAGCAGAAATCTGGGATGCAAAGAGGACAGAGTGCTGAGCACTCTCCCTGAATTTAACTGCCTCCAAATCTTTCTAAAATAAATTTCCTGAGAAAGATTTTTTTTCAATTATGAAGTGGAAGTGCTGCCTGCTGAAGGCATGATGGGCTCTGAGGTGGGAGCCTGGGGTCTGTAGGCTTCACAGCCAGAGCATGGTTTCAGGACTTGCCCTTACGTTAACCTCTCCTCTCAGTTTTTTCCAGGAATGTTTAAACACAACAGCAAAACTTAAGAAGTTTACAGAGAAGCTCATCCCAGAGCTGCAGAGTGTGAGCATTCATCTGAAGTTGGGTGCGGGGAGCAGGAGCAGGCTGGAGAGCAGGGATGTCTTCCCCAGGGCCTCCTCTTCCTCTGCAGAAGCAGAACTGAGGCCTTTCACAGCTCTTCGTATCTGTTGATCACTATGTCCTGATCCTCTGATGTGCAGTGGCCTGTGGAGGGGTGAAATGCAGCCATCACTGGGAGTGGGAAAATTATGGTGCCACATCCCAGGGCACAGACTAGGAAGAACAGACCTAAGTCTGGGTACCAAGGAGATCCTGACGTGTTTATCTGCCAAAGCCCTAGCTGCTCTGCAGACTTCTAGATTTTTCATTTATGCTCTTAGTTTTCCGTGGCTGTTGCTGCCAAATCAAGCTCAAAATGCCTTTCCTCGAGGGCTTTGTTTTGCTGTAGAGGAGGGTCATGTAAGCCTTGTGAACTCTAGCTTTTGACTTTGAGCTCTGTCAGTCATACGTGGCCTGGAGACAACAAGGCGTTTTTCCAGGTCGCAAGGCTTTCAGAGACAGTCTGAACACTCATGTCCCGGGTGGTGTGATGTCCTCCAAGTGCAGCAGAAGATTTATGTTGGTTTCCCAGCATTTTTAGACCTCTGTTCCAGTTTGCTTGGGCTTGCTTATCCTTCTCCATACTTCCTTGCAAGTCAAAATTTGCAGAGCTTTGGGACATGGTCCTCACCCAGATACTGTGACAGCATCACTTGTAGTTGTCTCACCTGGTCCTGCAGTGCAGGTGTCCTCTGGGTATCTGCTGCTTTGTTTGACTTAATCTGCTTCAGGGGTGTTACCCTGCTTGTTCCATAATTTGTAATCATTCATATTAAAATTCATTATGTAAATAACAAAAAGAGGGGAGACGCTACCCCAGGCAGGGTAATCGAGCACAGCAAGCAGTATCTTATGGATCCCTCATGCAGACAAACCCCCAGGCTCCATTTCACGGCCACATTCCTGTGCCAAGGTTCATCAACCTTTTGATGGCTTGGAGACGTTTTAATTATTTTAATTACCAACACTACCAAGGGAAAAAAAAACAACCACCATGGTGATCTGCAAGCTGTTGGTTGCTTTTATACTGTGGAGAGCTGCAACAGCTGTTTGCTCAGTAAAATGCAGCCTGTTTTCCTGTGGTCTCATGTTGCAGGAGTCCTGGCGCTGGGGACATGCCTGCTCCCTCCTCTCCACTAGTTCTCCACTGAAATGCTTCTTGCACATGCCACATACCATGGCACTGCAGGGGATGAGTGGCGACCTCCCACCGCAGGAATGGGGCTCGGTGCATCCCACGGACATGAGGAGGCAGGGAGGGCAGCGGGTGGCGTGGGGGCACCTCCGCTGCACCTGGGAGAAGGAGTGGGATGCCACAGCTGAGGCAGGAGCCTCCTTCTGCCATGTGAGCGGCTCACAGTGCTCTGGTGCCTTTCAGATGAAGATCAGGCAGGACGAGGAGAAGAAGCAGCTCTGCTCTCTGCGGGATCAGCTGAAATCGGTGTTGCAGCTGGAGCAGAAAGAGGTAAAGGCTGGTGCTTCTAGCAAGGGAATGCGGGGTGGTGACGGCAGAGGGAATGGCATGGCAGCTGCTTATATAGTGCCTGCCTGCCGACGCAGAAAGCCGCAGGGTTTCTGGTGGGCTCTGGAGGAGCACAGAGTCCCTGGCAGTCCCATGAGGACATGCCCTTGGTTGCCAGCGGCGCTGATGGGGTCGGGCCTCACTGCTAGTTCTCTCCTTCTGCCAGGACCCTGGGAACAAGCAGGCAGGGTACAACATGCACCAGCTGCAAGGGAACAAGCAGTACGGCACGGAGAAGTCAGGGACCCTCTTCAAGAAAAGCGATGGGTAAGTTGGGATCCAGCATGCCCCTTTCAATTGTGCTTTGGGGACTTGGGGCCAGAGCAGGGCTCACCCACACCAACCTCCTCTCCCTGGGGTGGCCACAAGGCAGAGCAACAGGACCAGCATACATGAAGGTGTGCCCCACACTGTCCCAGCCTCCAACAGCTTTCAACACAGAGCTCCAGGCAGCTTGTGTCCATCTTTTAGTTCTGAGGACAGTCCTCTCCTGTGAAGCTGCCCAGTGTCCTCTCAAGCCCTGAGAGCGCTGGGAGTGAGGACCCCTGCACCCACCATAGGAAGCCAGAACCAGCTCCCCGTCTTTCCTTCCAGCAGGGATCCTGCCACCTTCATCCAACACCCCAAGGTCTTGTGCTGGGAGGGACGGGGAAGGGTCGGTTCTTCTCCCCCTCTCCCAGGCACTCATTGCTTTCCAGAACCCCCTCCATCGCCTCTGCTCCAGGATGAGGAGCCCTGACCCCTCCACCCTTCCTGGGTGGGAGACACTCAGGGGTCCACTGGGGATTTATATATGGTCTTGGTGATGTTTTCTGCTCTTTTCTCCCTTCCCTTCCTCCTCAGCCCTGCCCCGTCCTTTGCCTTTTAAACCCCTCTGCCCTCACATTGGGCTCAGCTCCCCGACTGTGAGAACTGGGGAAACGAGCAGAAATGTAGAGTGAATTAGACACAGCATGGGTCAGTGCAGCCTTGGAGACGGCATCATGGGCCAGAGGGGAGAGAGATCCAGCAGATGTTCTGTGCTCCTCGCCCAGAAGTCAGACTCTGAGCTCCTGGAAAACACTCCTCTCTCTTTGGAAAGAGGATCATGTCCCACCACTGCATGGGAGTATTCTTGCTGGGAATCACAGGGGTCCTGCGCAGGGAGACTTGCACACCTGGAAAGGGCTGTGAAGTGTCCTAGAAAAACCTGAAACTGGACAGAAAACAGTGAACTGGGGCTCAGGAGTCTCCTTCACCGCAGACTGAAGTTCAGTCTCTCTCCTCTTTTGGGTGTATCTCTTCCACCTTTCCCCTGTGATATGGCACTGGAAAACCAACCTGGGAGCATTTTGGAGGTGATGGTCCTGGATGTTTGTTGAGGGCTTCTGCAAGAGGCTTGGTGCTCTGCTAGTAGGTCCTGCTGCCCCAGCTGATGCTCTGCACCTGTATCACCTTCACAGCAGCTGTGCTGCCTGTCCGTACAAGCTTGTCTTATGCCATATGACGGGTCCTTCTCAGCCCAGAACAGACCAAGAGTGACAGACCCCATCCATGGCAGTCCAGCAGGCATGTCTGATGAGAGCTGTGGACCCATGCTGTGCCTTGCATGGCACTCACATTTGCCAGCACTGCGCTGCATTGGATGTCTCCTCCTCCGTGTGTGTGTGTGTGTGTCCTCTCGGCTCACCCTCTGCTCATTTCCAGGTTGAGAAAAGTCTGGCAGAAGAGGAAATGCACCATCAGCAATGGCTACCTGACCATCTCTCACAGCGTGGTAGGAACTGCTTCTTCCACTCTGCTCTGCTCCTGCCTGGAAGCTGCTGCCCACCCCACAGGGTCCACAGGGCCTCCCTGGGGCTCACCGGAGCCCTTGTGCCTGCTGCTTGCTCTGCTGGGCTGCCCTGGCGTAAGAGGCTTTCTATTGAGACTTAGGCAACCCACGAGAGCTTTAGACAAACACGGGAGGTCCTCGCGTGTCTGTGTGCGTGGAGGGGCATGAGCCTGGGGACCTGGCTCCACTCATGGGGTGACTGTTGGCAAAGAAAAGGTCCATGTTGCTATTTCTTGCCTTGCTCCTGAGACTGGAGCCAAAGACAAAGTGCTGGGCACGAGGCAGATCTGCAGCTCTCCCTCCAGAGCCAGGCGGTGCTCGTCACTGCTGGACCGCAGCCCTTTGATGCTTCCTCATTCTGTTTGTAGCTCAACCGCCCACCAGCCAAGCTGAATTTACTGACCTGCCAGGTGAAGCCGAACACGGATGACAAGAAATGCTTCGATCTGGTTTCCCGTGAGTGCTGGTGCCTGCCCTGTGGTTCCTTCGGGAAGGGCCTGGAGAGGCGGGCAGTGCTTTGGACTGACTCAGAAAGCCAGTGAGGGCAGGGGCGAGGGGAAGCTCTACAGCTTTGGGCCAGCCTGGGGGGATTACCCTGGGGAAATTGTGCCAGGAGGCAGCTCTGCTCAGGAGCAGTGATGCACACAGAGGGTATGAGATCAGCAGCACTGCTGAGGGGCAGGGCAGGGCTCATGGGCACCACACAAGTGTGGTTCCTGGGCTGCAACATCCCTCGTTCCTGGTACAGGAGCAGGTCCCTTTATGCCTGGGGTCCACTGGGGAGGGGCTGAGTGAGACGGAGGTGGCTGTCACCCCAGGTACCAGGGCTGGAGATTGCTCCTGGCTCTGCTGAGCCCAGCTCAGGCATTTTGTGCCCTGCCGTGAGCCTGGCAGGCAAAACAATTGAGCAGGGTGCCTAGAGGAGACCGGCTCTGTGTGTTTTAGACAACCGGACATACCGCTTCCTGGCAGAGGACGAGCAGGACTGTGTCGCGTAAGTACTGGCAACGCCTCGCTGCGGACCGAAAACTGCTCCTCTGGCTGCTGATGAGGAGCCAGCTCTTTGGCTAATTGAGGAGCCAGCTCTTTGGCTAATTGAGCAGCACACCACAGCCCCTTCTTCGATGTCCTTCCCACCCTGACTGTGTCCCGGTCACTCGGGGTGGGGGCTGGCTGGCTGTGAACAGGACGTGGAGCTTGATGGAGGGTCCTGGCACCCAGTTTGCTGCTGGAGTCCTGTGCAGGACCTTTGTGTGTGGTGGCTGCTGTGCAGACTGGGGCAGAGCGGGATCTCCCCTGCAGCGGTGGGATGAGCCCCGCTGCCCTCCTCGCCCTGCAGCCCGAGCATGGCCGCCCAAAACCCTGCTCCTAAACCGCTTTCTGCCTGTGCAGCTGGGTGTCCGTCCTCAGCAACAGCAAGGAGGAGGCACTGAACGTGGCCTTCAGCAAGGCGCAGAGTGGAGGGGAGAGCAGCCGGGAGGAGCTGACTCGGGCCATCATCGAGGAGGTCAGAGGCATTCCCGGGAATGGGGAGTGCTGCGACTGCTCTGCGCCAGGTGAGAGCCAACCGGGTTTCTTTCCATGGGGCTGCCATGCTTCCTCCCCCCTGGACAGGACAGGCAGAGCTCTGCCCTGCCCTCTGCACCATCCAACTCCTGGAGACCTGCAGGCATCTGGGGTCTTGCCCTTCCCCTCTGTCCTGCTGGGGAGCTTCTACCCTGGGGTGGTGGGGGAGACCGGCGGGGAGGAGAGGTAGAAGACCTGTACGAGCCTGGCGGTCTTGTCTTTACAGATCCCACTTGGCTCTCCATTAACTTGGGCATCCTGATCTGCATTGAGTGCTCTGGGATTCACAGAGAGATGGGTGTGCATCTGTCCCGCATCCAGTCGCTGTCTCTGGACAAGCTGGCAACCTCCGAATTACTGGTAGGACATTGCCAGTGTGCTCTGTCCTCAAGCCTCCCCCTGCTTCTGCTGTGGTCTTCTTGAAAGTTAATTCAGTGGGTTTGTCACCTGCTAAACTGACCCCCACCCACCCGTAATTCCCAGGGTTTAGTGGTTATTGTGGCAGGAATTGTCATCTTCAAGGAAGGGAGGAGAGGAGAGGAGAGAGTCATTTCGCTGTTGCTGGGTCACCCGTCTCCCTCAGTCCCCTTCCCCCATCTGTTTCCCCCGGTGCCGCGGAGCCGTGGGGCAGGGCCAAGCTTGAAGTGGGGTAGAGCAGAGTGTGGGGCAGGCAGGGGGTTGGACACTTAGCATGGAGCTGCTTTAGGGCCAAGCTGCTCCAGGTGCTCATGGGTTTGGTAGGGCTGTGACGGGAGCTGCTGGCAGCCGGTGGGCAACAGGGCAAGGGATGGGAGTGTTTGGCAGGGATCATTGCTGGCCCAGATCTGAGCCCAGGGGTCAGTTTTGGGGTTGGTTGCATTGCTGGAGTTGGGAAATCTCAGCTGCAGGAGTCAGGGCAGAGTCTCGGGCCATCGGGCACACACATCCCGACACCCCTTGACACCCCCTCGATACCTGGTCAGGAGCTCAGCCTGGAGCTCCCTCTCCTGCTGCCACGTGTGTAGAGCTGTTGCGTGTCCTATGGCACCTCTAGCCTGGCTGTTTTGCAGCTGGTGAGGAATATCGGCAACTCTGGCTTCAACGACATCATGGAAGCGAATCTCCCCAGCTTTTCCCTGAAGCCCACGGTGCACAGTGACATGTGAGTTGCTCTGCGAGAGCTGTGTTTTGTGGGAGGTTAGATATGGGGCCCTCGCCCATGGGGACATGCTCTGCCGTCCTGTCTGCTCCCTGCAGTGACCAGGCACATGGCACTGCCCGATCTCCTCCCCAGATCGTAACTTCTCTTTAGAAGCAATTTCATCAAGCACAGCAGGAAAAAAAAAATTGATGAAGGAGGGAACAGTGAGGAAGAGTCAGCAGGACAGCTCAAGGATTGACCCTGAGGTCAGGACAAGGATTGAGGAATCAGTGCTGGAAAGGGAAAGGCAAGAAGAGAAACGTAAAATCCCAAGTGGCCCTGCCAAGCAGGATGACCCTGGCTGCACATCAGCAGGGCAGGGAAGGGCGGGAGGGTGGAGTGGGATGAGGGACAGGGACTTGCACGGTGCAGAGTAGTTCCCTCTGCCCAGTGGTGAGGGCCCTGGGTCAGCAGGATCAGCGTAGGCATTGAACAAGAACCTGCTGAGGATGCAGGAACCCTCGTCCTTCATCCCAGAGTGTCCCAGTCTCTAGGCTCTGTTGTGGTGTGGCTGGTACCAGCAATAGCTGGGGGGTTTCCCCTGGGCTTAGTGCAGTAAACCTGGGATGCAGCAGAGCTCTTGGGGGAAATACGTAGCTGAGGGGCTTATTGTCAGAGGCCAAGAGGACTTTCAGGAGGCTGGAGAGCAGGCAGATGAGGCATGATTATGTTCCATTACAGGCGTGTAAGTCCCAGCTAGGGCGCTGTTTAGACAGTGTGGCCCTGCCCCGCAGTGAATAGGTAGGTAAGGAACCGCACTTGGCAGGCGGAGAGCTGGGACATCAGGAAAATACAACTGGAACAGCGAGGTCAAGATCCAAGTTGCCATATCATCCCTTCCACTTGGATGCTGGGGAAACCGAAATTGCGTGAAATTAATAATTCAGCTCTTCCTCAATGGCTTTTTCTGTTTGGAGCACTCCTTTGTCCCCAGGGTACTTGCGGCCACCCCAGATCCTCTGGCCAGCCACTACTTCTGCTGTTCTTGACCTCTCCAGGGGGACAGTCCCAGCTTACTTGGCCAGCTCTTGTCTGGAATCTGTTCCTGAGCCATGGATACTCTCAGCCAATTCATGCCACATGGTGTTTTCCAGTTCTTGAAATTTCTGCTCGTTCCCCTAATTCTCACAGTTGGGAAGCTGAGCCCAGTACCAAAGTGTGAGGGCAGAGGGGTTTAAAAGGCAAAGGACGGGTCAGGGCTGGGGAGGAAGGGAAGGGAGAAAAGAGCAGAAAACATCACCAAGACCATATATAAATCCCCAGTGGACCCCAAAGCATCTCCCACCCAGGAAGGGTGGAGGGGTCAGGGCTCCTCATCCTGGAGCAGAGGCGATGGAGGGGGTTCTGGAAAGCAATGAGTGCCTGGGAGAGGGGGAGAAGAACCGACCCTTCCCCGTCCCTCCCAGCACAAGACCTTGGGGTGTTGGATGAAGGTGGCAGGATCCCTGCTGGAAGGAAAGATGGGGAGCTGGTTCTGGCTTCCTATGGTGGGTGCAGGGGTCCTCACCCCCAGCTATGGCCGTACTCCCGCTTTAAATGCATGACAGTCAAGTTCTCATTTAATTATGTAACTGGAGGAGAGGAAGCTTTAAGGTAACCACAGTGTTCTGTACGAGTTCCTACGAATGCTGCTGCAGAGGAGTTTGGGGAATGTGACAGAGAGAGGAAAGGTGCTAAACTGCCCGGTGGGTCTGAAGGAGAGAGAGGGAAGGGGGCTGGGGCAGCGGGAGAGGAGGGGATGGCCCTGGGATGCCCACTGGGTTGTTCTGTGGCCTCTAATGCCCTTTCGGCTGGTCTCTGCCAGGGCCTTTCGGAAAAATTTCATCATTTCCAAGTATGTCAAGAAGAAATATGCCAAGAAGAGCTCTGCTGCTCAGTGCTCCAGCCTCCCAGAAGCTGTGAAGGACAAGGACATACTTTCTTTGCTCCAAGCATATGCAGAGAACGTGGATTTGAGCGAGCCTGTGCCGACACCTCTGCAGGTATGGCCACCCGACCCGTGGGACCCTATGGCAAACAGCTTCGCCATCACCTCGCCAACCGGCCCATAAGGGTCCCTGTGCCCGGGAGGGGACAGCATTTTCTGGTGAAAACGGTACTTTCTGTGAGCGGGGAGCACCAGGCAGACTGGAGCAGGGTGAGGAACATCACGCAGCGGGAGGTTTTCTGGCTGCAAGCCCACAGCCCCCCTCCTGCTGTGTGATCGTGGGGGCCAGGAGTCATACCCACAAGCCCAAGGCTTTCCAATTTGTAACTGAGATTTACTTGTAAACTTCTGAGTGGCTTTTCTCAGGACATCCAAGTCTCGCTGTAGGCTGAAAAATCAGGGCAGCATTTTTTCCTGCGAAACAGCAGTGAGTCCTTCTGTAAGTGCAAGATGGGAGCACAGCCCCAACCCTCGGAGCTGTGGGCACCCCGCCGTGCCACTCCCTTTGCCGGTAAGGATGCCAGTGGGGGTCCTCCGGAGTAAGAGCGGAGGAGAAAAATGCTGCAGTGAGCAAGATGCACCATCAGTATAGGATGTCTTGGGACAACCTGGCAAGCGAGAAGCAGCTCCGCAGGGAGCAGCTGTTGCCCACCCTGGGGTTCTGGTGAGACGGTGGACTCAGCAAAGTTCAGATACTGACCTGGGGAGAGAAGTCACCTTTGGTTGCCTCAGTTTCTAAATGTGAAAAGGGGATGATTGATCCTTCTTCAGGAAGCCAAGAGCCATGGCTCTGCGCATCTTACCTAGGGTCTCACGAGCCTTGGGGGGCTCTGAAGAGACAGTCAAACCTGTTCATCTCTCAGGGATTTTAAATGTGTAAGGACAGTCTCTAAAGGCAGCATTCCTGTCCACGGTGGTGTAGGCAGACACAGTCTCATCCTTGCTGTATTTTTTTTGGTTACAGGAACCTGGGGAAACCATTCTCCACCTGGCAGTGGTGTTGTCTGATCGAACCTCTTTGCATATCGTTGATTTTCTTGTCCAGAACAGGTAAGCTCATGATACCCAGCTTGTTGTTGCTAAGCTCTGCTAGTGAAAGGTGCAAGACTGATAGTCTTCTCCAAAATGCTCCCAAAAAAGAGGGAAATCACCAGGGCAGGCCTCCCGGCAAACGTGCCTTGGTCTCGGCTTGAGGTAGCTTCCCCTAGATCAGAGGGGCCTTGGGTTCCCTCGTCTCCGCTGGGTTGAGGTGTGACGGTGGAGGTGACCACTTCTGGGTGGGAAGAAGGACACGTGGCAGTGTTTGCTGTGGCTGGGGCCGGTGGCTCTTCCCAGGGGTGCTGACATTATCCACCCTCTGCTGCAGCGGAGGTCTGGGAAAGCAGACGGCGGAGGGAAACACGCCGCTTCACTACTGCTGCTCTCACAACAAACCCGAGTGTGTCAAACTGCTGCTGAAGGCCAAAGCCAACATCACCATCCGTGAGTGGCCATGGGACACCCCCCCACCGAGTGTCTTCTCAGCTCTTCTGTGGAAACACCTCCCTAACCTTGCTAAAGCGCTCAGCAGTGCTCGCCTGCAGCTGGGGAGAGGCGGGTTGATGTTGGCGTTGGGTGGGGACCCTGCCCACGGGGTGACGGCCACAGCCCCAGGCTCTTCGTATGTCCAGTGAGGTGCCCTGCTCTGACACGGCTCTTAGCTGGCCCTCAAGGCTCAGTGGCGTTCACAAGGCAATTTGGGGTGCACGTGACCCTCTGCAAGCGGGGTGACCACATCTCACAGGTTCCTGTTTTCAACAGCCTAGGACAGAAGCAGTGGCTTTGCTCTCCAGCTTGGGGCAGGGGATGCTCCTCTCTGCTCCCCACGGGGAAACCAGCTTGTTCTGGGGCACTCTTGACCCCAGGGAGCTCGTGCCTCTGCCCCACTTCACTTGTCCCCCTCCCAGGCGGGCAGCCAGGGGCCTGCAGCTCTGTGGTGGGACTGTGCTGGAGTCCCAGAGCTGCAGCTCCCAGGGGAGCTGGGAGTTGCTCCAGTCACGGAGCTGCCGGAGGCCAGCAAGGCAAGCCCTGCCTGAGCTGCTCTTCCACCGCAGCACATGCACGGCAGGAGCCAAAACAGGCACTTGACTCATTTTCAAAGCAACGCTGGAGAGCAGCTCGGAGGGATGCCAAAGCACTCAGAGACGGTGTGTGCTGGTGCTCTGGAGTCCAGCTCACAGGTCCAGCCATTTATACTGTCCATGAATCTCCTCTTCCCAACACAGAAGTGAGCTTTAAAACTGGGGTCCTGGGTGAAATAGGAGGGCACAAATGTTTCCACCATCAAGTATCAGCTGAGCTGGTGGGTGTGTTGTGCTGTGCCTCCCGGGATGCTCCTGAGAGGCTCCTGTTTCCTGCTCCAGGCAGCGCGGTGGCAGCCTCTCGGAGGACAGAGAGACCCAGAGGAGCTGGGCGCATGTCCTCCCCGTCACACTGTGATTTGGCAACCAAATGTCTCACTGCCTCGGCCATGCTGGGCACAGCCATGCCTGACCTGTCTTTACTGACTGGGACCACTGGTACCTCAAGCATCTGGAGTCCGCACTGCAGACCCTGCCGCGGCTTTGGGGATGCTCTGTGGTCCCTCAGGGTGCAGACCTCTTGCTGTTCCCTTCTCCCACCCTCTCCCCCTTCCCCAGAGTTCCCCTCAGCCCACACCTCCCTAGCCAGGCTCGTGCTGCAGCTCTGCAAGGAGGGGTTTTGCAGAAATAGTAATGTTGCAGAGTTGCAACAACACCATCACAGGTCCCATCCTCAGACCTCCCAGGAGTGGAAGGGGGTTTTGTTTAAAAAGTGAAACTTTAGTAAAATGGGTGTTGCTTGTTTACACTTCACTTACACACCTGCTTGCAAGCACTGGGACCTGTGTGTCCACCAGGCACCAGGACACACATACTGGGTCTGCCCAAAGCTCTCTGCGGTGACGCAGAGGACAAGGGGTGCTGGCTGTGGAGTCCTCCTCTGCTTTTGTAGCCTTTAGACTTTGGCAGTGGCTGAGCTCTCTACCCTATCCCATCTCTGCAAGTCACCAGGATTTACTTGGACTCTTTTCTTTCCTTACCTGGGTGTTTCAGCTCCTGCCCTCTTCTTCATCTTCCCACCACCACCCCTTAATGGCCTGAGCCTTTCTTTTGGTCTGGGTTTGGGCTGCCCCTTCTTTTAGGCTTATTTGCCCCCAAATGCCCCAAACACAGCACTACTCTTCAATTTGCTGAGCCTAATGCAGACTTGTGGTGTTCAAGGCTGCTGTTTCCCCCCTCGCAGCTAACGAAGCAGGAGAGACAGCCCTGGATGTTGCCAGGAGGATGAGACATCCCCTGTGTGAAGAGCTGGTAAGACACTGTGTCTCATCATCCCTCTGGTTTCGGGACTTGTCCCAGCGGCAGAGATGTGGATGTGTCCTGCATGCCCCTCAGCATCTCCAGTGCGTGTGAGATGCAGAGGAGGGTGCGGAGGGGTCCAGCGGGCGCTGGCCCTGCTGGCATGAGGTCCCTCAGGGCAGAGTGGTTTGGGACAGGCCAGGCAGGGGCCACACCATGCCTGGACAGGGGAACCTGAGGCTGTGTGGGCTGAGCACATCTCCTCAGTGAGTCCAAGCCTTACTTCTGCCAAGTCCCGATTTGTGTGTTTGGAGAGCTTTGCGGAACCCCCTCGCTGCTGGGAAGCACCGCCCGCAGCTTGCAGATGTTGTTCTGATGGCGGGTGGTCAGAGATGGGGCCAGCAGCTGCCTGTGGGGCTGGTGGGGCAGGTCAGGGCTGGTGGGGGCCTCAGGGAGCTCCTCTGTGCCCCAGCTGCTGCAGGCCCAGAGCAATCAGTTCAACCCCCATGTCCACGTGGAGTATGAGTGGTGGCTGCGCCAAGACGACATGTATGAGAGCGATGAAGACCTGGACGAGAAGGTGAGGTGCTGACAGGCTCTGGCTTGGGGCCACACGTGCTGCCACTGACTCATTCCCATTGCGCTGGAGTGGGCTCCTGTAGCTGCCCAGCCGTACCTGCTCTGTCTAACCCACAAGTGTCCCTTTCCCAGCTGGGTCCTGTGAAGAGGGGCTCTGCTCGTTCCCAAAGCTGCTACCACCCCTCTGCCGCTGCCCT